AACCTCGATCGTGAAGATATTTGAGTGCGTTCGCAATGTCTCTTGTCACTTTACTCGCCTCCTGTTCGGTGAAGAAACCTTTTTGTTGAATATGATTCAGCAACGGTCCGCCACGCATCTTCTCGAATACCAAATAGAAGTAATCATGATCTTCGAACCACTAAAACAACATTAAATCATTACTCAATACAAAATCAAAACAAAAATGTCATAAAGATATGCAACAAGTCGAAATGACAACAAAAAAAAAACGATAATAATAATAATAAACTACCTCATGCAATTGTACAATATTCGGATGGTTGATACACATGTTGAATGTATCCACCTCACGCATAATACGAGATCTGGTATGTCCCTGTTCATGTTTATCCACTAATTTAACCGCAAACTCTTTACCAGTCGCTATCGAAATACCCGTCTGAACACTTGCATATGCACCCGAACCCAAGTGATCATCAGTCAGTTTGTAGAAATCTGCAATTACTCTTTTATAATAAAGAAATTTACTTCATTCCTCACTATTTAATATCACATTTTAATCGACGTCCATTGCTTTCACCCCACCAAAATCCGTCACTTTTCTTTGCTCGATTCATTCATATCACACCGAACCCCCAACAAAACTTTAATATTTAAAATCAATTACTATACGGTCAATCGATCAATCAATCCAATAACCGATTAACCGTAAAATTCTCACTGAAGGACATTTCAAGCAGTCCACACCTACATTCGTCGATGACATGAACTGAATATTGAGACTTTGTAAAAATTATGCAAAAAAATGTAAACTAGATGTAATAAGTATATTATGCAAATCAATATTATTTCATAAATATGACTGAAAATCCTACAACTGAATATGAAAATTGAATATCTAATGTATTGAATAATAATAACTCTATTGATCAATTACTATGCTATGTAACCATACAAAACTGTTCATTCATTTGCATTTCTATTCTTCTGACTATGCGATCAACGATCCATCTCTAATACGTGACAAATGAATGTCATTCACCAAAAAGAC